TATTTATATAAATATTTGCAATAGGTCTAGGACAGTGAAATATCCAGCCCCTCGGAAATTGTGACTGTTGTATATTTTAATATGTTGTTTGTGTATTATCCCCCCTCCCTTGTTTTATTGTAAGCCACCCGAAGTCCTTCGGGAGTGGGCGGCATACACATCAATAAAACTCTAACTTTAACACTCTAACTCCCATATTTCTCATAGGTCTGGGCTATGGGGTAGGGTGACAAGATTAAAAAAAAACTTTTCTTGCAAAAAAAAAAAAACTCCAAACATCCAAGCCTGGCTACATTTTGCAAAATCTACACCAAGTCTGACAAAAGCATGTGGGGAAATGTGTTATGGTCTGATGAGACCAAGGTTGAACTTTCTGACCATAATCCCCAAAAGTATGTTTGGTGCATCACCAAAAGTACACCAGGGAAGCATGGTGGCAGCCATTATGTTTTGGGGCTACTTTTCCTTCAGCTGGGACCTGGGGTTTTATAGTCAACGTTCAAGGAACTGAAGAGTTCCAAATATCAGCCAGTTTTGGCACAAAACATTCAGACCTCTGTGAAAATTCTGAAAAGGAAGAATTTCTCCTTTCAAGATGACCATGAATGACTCAAAGCATGCCTCCTAATCCACAAAAGGATGGCTTCACCAGAAGATCAAATTCTTGGAACGGCCCAGCTAAAGCCCAGACCTGAATCCAATTGAAAATCTATGGGGTGGCCTGAAGAGGGCTGTGCACAGAAGATGCCCTCGCAAACGGACAGATGTGGAGCACTTTTGCAAGGAAGAAGAGGGGGCAGCAATTCCCAAGGCAAGATGAGCCATGCCGATAGGTTCCGACTCCCAAGGACTGGATGCTGTCATAAAGTACTACTTTTAAGTTTGCATTATTGTAATTTCTTTTTTTATTTTCATTCCCCACCCCCCACCCCAAATGCCCTGGGAATTCTGTGTACCTTTCTCCTGTCTGATGCCTTCCAGCAATTAGATCCCTTTGATGCTTTGTAAGCTCTCAGCAGAGCATGGCTTTTGCTGTAAGAGGCAGCTATCAGAGAAATCCTACAACAGCTGGACTTTATACAGCTTGATGGGTCATTTTAATGGATGGCAGGTGTGCATTGCTATTTAACATCAGTTTGAATGTGATTAATTCGCATTCCTATTTGTAACAGGATGTGCACACTTATGCAACATTATTGTAAGATTATTTTCCTCCTTGGCACAGTTTACAGTATATGTTAAAGGAGGAAAAATTCTGAAGTGATTTATCTTGGTTTGATTTTTACATCTCAAAAACCTTGCATTTTAATAGAGGTATGTTCTTTTTATATCCACTGTAGTATATGTTAAAGGAGGACAAATTCTGAAGTGATTTATCTTGGTTTGATTTTTACATCTCAAAAACCTTGCATTTTAATAGAGGTATGTTCTTTTTATATCCACTGTAGTATATGTTAAAGGAGGACAAATTCTGAAGTGATTTATCTTGGTTTGATTTTTACATCTCAAAAACCTTGCATTTTAATAGAGGTGTGTTCTTTTTATATCCACTGTGCTTCCTTAAAGCTGCATTTGTCTCTTCCTTTCTTATACACTACGAGAATGTTCCTTCTTATACCCATTTAAACTTATCGCCAATCTTTTCTGTTGGCTAAAAATTTCTAGA